CAAATCATTCTAAAACCACAGGATGTGAGCCATGTGTGGTTTTCTTACAAAACCTCTGATCAGTCACTGCAGCTCCTTCCAGAACTGTGGCAGAAGTAGCATTTGCATGGTACTGAACTAAGCTCATCAAGGTAACAGGTCTGGCTGAAAACTCTACTGTTCATATACACTGTCCCTGGCAGTGTTCACAGCCAGGTTGGATGAGCCTTGAGCAACCTGCTCTGCTGGGAGGTGTCCCTGCCCAGGGCAGGGCTTGGGGCTGGATCATCTCTAAGCTCCATTCCAACCCCTAAAATTCTATGATTATATGATTTGTTTGCAAGCTATTATGTAGAAAAACTATATATCTGATTTTTTTCCTCAAACAAAATGCACACATTTAACTGAACCATAAATATGATCTAAAAATTAGAAAACTTGCCAGTAATCCATTTTCCTCTTGCTCACTGCAGTGCTACACATTGCTAAAATCATACTACAGAATGAGCAGTTTATTTCACTATCCTGCTTAAAATGTATCTAATTATTTTATAGATATGATAACACTACTTGCCATTATCATATCTGTAATATATAAGCACATTGCAGCATTAACTTTATTTGGTTTCTTCTTTGCCCTTACCAAAATAATATGCACTATTTGTAAGGAAGGACAATGAACAGAAATGAATGAGGAAAACAGCTCTGTATATTTTCAGAGTAAGGCTTAACTGGATGGGTTAGTTTTACAAGTAGTTTTGTGTTTAATCTTACAAATGGCCATTAAATCATCTGTAGCAACAGCAGAACTGAATCACAGAATCATAGAATTTTAGGGGGTAGAATGGACCTTAGAGATGATCCAGTCCCAAGCCCTGCCCTGGGCAGGGACACCTCCCAGCAGAGCAGGTTGCTCAAGGTCTCAACTGAAGAGATGAAGCAGCTGAAATCCAGACAGAAATGTATGTTGTGTGGAACCAATATTATATTTAAAGTTTATAACAGGTGTTTTTCTCTGTGCCATGAAAAAAATCATCTAATATTGTGCTCTTTCCTTTGTTAGCCATTTCCTGTGGACATCCTGGGGTACCTGCCAATGCAGTTCTTTCAGGAGACAAATTTACCTATGGCTCTGTAATTCACTACTCCTGCACAGCAGGTCGAAGGCTCATAGGAAATTCCACGAGGGAGTGCCAAGAAGATAGTCACTGGAGTGGGACTCTCCCTCACTGCTCAGGTACTTGTCCCAGCCCTTAGCTGAATGTCACCTTGTCACATGAATAAGGCTATTCTCACTCATCTTTTAGCTGCAGTCACATATTTGTTCTGTGTCTTTTCCAAGTGTATTTTAACTTCACCAAGAGTCACTCAGCTGAATCATACCCATCCAATGAAATACCATCTTAATTGTCTCAGTCTCTTTGTCATTACTTAGCGACTTCAGCCCTTCATTTTGCAAGTCACTCCTTAGCTCGAGGCTACAGTTGTATAAAAGATGAAAACCAAATTCCTCATTAGGGGAAGTGCAGGGACAGCTCTGAGCTCTTCTCTCTGGGCCCAGGGACAGGAGCCAGGGAATGGGCTGGAGTTGTGTCAGGGCAGGGTTAGGCTGGAGATTAGCAACTGGTTCTTCTTTCCCCAGAGGTGTTTGGGCCCTGAACAGCTCCCAGGGCAGTGTCACAGCCCCAAGGCTGACAGAGCTCCAGAGGTGTTTGGCCAATGCTCTCAGCACAGGGTGTGAGTGTCAGGGATGTCTGTGCAGGGCAGGGGTTGGGCTGGGGGATCCTCATTATTCCCTTCCAACTCTCATTATTCTGTGACTATTTAAACATTGTCCCTCTTGTCCTGCTGGTTACCTGGGAGAAGAGATCAACCCCAGCTAGAGTCCTCTAGTGCTGTTAGCAAATATCTTTCATCTCAAGAAAAATTCTCATGCTGGTGGAAGGAAATTTGCATGGCCAATAAGTGAGATTGTTCAGCTATCAGTCATGAATATGATAGTATTTTTATAGACTTGTATATTTTGCAAGCATTCAAGAGCACCATACTAACCTCCTATGGTGGGGAAAATATGTCTAGTGTAACTGAGACATTGTAACCAATGCAGAGTTTAATTTTCTGAGTTTGAACACGATGGACATGATTGAGAGCAAAGAGATTCCCTAGGAAAATGAAAAGCTTTCTCTGTTAGCTCAGTTTAAAAGAAAAAGGCAAGGAAAAACTCTCAAGAAAACAGGCAAAGAAAACCCTAAAAACATGTCTCATTTCCCTAAGGCATTTTGAATTGTAAAAAACCCCTACACATTCCAGGTTAGATACTCAGGAGATTACTCCATTAAAATCCTGTATGAATAATTCGTTGTCATAATGTCAGTGGAAGAATGATTGTGCCCAGGATGACTGAGAACTCTAATTGGTTTTGTTCTTCAGGGACATGAAAACCAGTCCAAATAGAACATATAAAACCTGCAGTCTGTTTCTGCATGGGATTTATTTCTTTATTATATATTAATACATGTTTGAAAGCATGATGGGATAACTATGAGCTCAGGGTTTGTTGCCACCTGAGACCTGTTGCAGGGATGGACAATTGTATCTTATGAATTCAGTAATGGATGCAGAGTTTTCTACGTTGCTAAATTGAAAAAAAAGGGTCTAAACCTTTGTAATATGGTAACCACCTTTGTCTATATAAAATTGCATGTCCCAGTTCAAATTTGCTCCAAGTCAAAACCAGATGTATCCAAGAAAAAAAACCACTGTAGTCATTAATCTGGATTAAATCCCTCAGCAAAGCCCCAAGCAAACAGAGGCATCATCAGAATTTCAGAATCATGGATCATTCTGCCCTGAACAATTCTTTGCATTCAGCAGCCAAAGTCTGTGCCACAGACATGTTTCATGCTGTAAACACCTCACAGTAGTGACCTGACTCACAGTCCTCCCGTGATGGGACAAGGGGCAATGGGGACAAATTGAAGGAGGGAAATTTAGGTTAGATCTTAGGCAGAAGTTTTCCCTGTTGTGGTGGTGAGACCCTGTCCCATGGTGCCCAGGGAGGCTGTGGCTGCCCCAACCCTGGCAGTGTTCACAGCCAGGTTGGATGAGCCTTGAGCAACCTGCTCTGCTGGGAGGTGTCCCTGCCCAGGGCAGGGCTTGGGGCTGGGTGAGCTCTAAGCTCCATTCCTACCCCTAAAATTCTGTGATTCTATAAGGACAGTTTTAAGAGTTCTGTTTTGCAGCACCTTCTTTCTCTTCTTAATTTGCAGCCAATATTTACATAGAAATTTATAGGACAAGGATAATTATGAAGTGTTCTTTTCTTCCTTGACAGTCACACAGTGATAGGTCAGTTAGTCTTTTCTTTGGATATATGTATTTCAACTACGTCTCTTAAGGAACATGAATATGGTTCTCCTCACTCTTGCTGTGATCTAATTCTTGTTATAAGAAATTATTACTGGGAGAGAAGTTGACCAACGAAATATAATGTGTAGAAAATGTCAATTATGTCAAAAAGACAGTAAAGTTGTTAAACTGACAAAAAGTGACAGAGGTGCTTTCAATGTTTAATTTATATTATGTTCTGTGTTTAGGTCTGTATTGACCTGAGATAAGAAATAGGGCAAAAAGGCATATATTTTTCTCTTTGATTTTAGTTTCACACCCTTACACTGGAAGAAAAGGGATTGATTTTAACAGAAACAGTGCAGTTAGTAGTGCTATCTGCAAGAGAGTATTTTCACTGTCACTATATTTGCACAAAATCATGGAATCATAGAACCATCAAG